TCTTATAAATATGAGCATACAGGTAATTGTGATACTAACATAAGATATAAAGTAACTGTCACCTTTGATGTATTACAGTGATGAACATGATGCCATCATTTAAGGAACTCCCAGCGACAAGGGAAGAAGACAGGTTGATGCAGCCGTTAGCTAACTTTTGTTTATTTGTAACTTAAAAAATACATTCTCTTCGTGGAAATAGTAGAAACAGACCGGGCATACAATGTACAACGTAGTATAAAATATGTAAAGAATCATCTTGATTACTGAGAAGCATTGGGTGTAGGTTTTTAATGAACATGTGAAGCTGGCAAAGAGCCCTGGTAGTGCAGCAGTTAAGGCTTGACCCCTAAGTGGACCCACCCGCTGCGCGGTGGGAGAAAGATGTGGCGGTCCGCTTCCATAAAGAGACACAGGCTTGGGAGCGCCCAGGGGCAGTTTTGCCCTGCCCTACAGGGCTGCTGAGTACACATTGCCTTGCCAGCAGTGAGCTTTGGGGTTTTGGGGGAGTCGTGGACATCCCCTCGCTCCCGAACAGAAATTCAGCAAGTTTCAGTTTATTGCAGTGTTAAAAAGACAAAACAAAAAGCACTAAAGCCTTTTCTTCCCCTCTTTTTTAGGCACGTCAACTATTAATTCTAAAGAAAATAGAGGATCGAAGTTTGATATTGGCAGCTTTGTTGGTGGTATTGTTTTAACACTGGGAGTTTTATCAATTCTTTACATTGGATGCAAAACCTATTATTCCAGAAGGGGCATTCGATATAGAACCATGTAAGTTTGGATTGGCTGAGTCATTTACTGTTATCTTTTGTGTTTCTTTTCAGTTGAATTCGATGTCTGAGTTCTCAGTGTTCATCTCAGAGATGAATAATTTCTATGATTAATTCCCATTACTTCTCAGCACTCAGAGTACATCGCTTCTGTACAAGGTTGTGATGATAATTATTCACAAATGAATATGTATGGGTATACCGAAAACCGTTTACATTTCACTAGTGCACGACGAGCTCCCCTAACTCTGTTTGTTTGCATGTGCCTCTAAGAAATGCCTGGTAAGTCTCATCAGGTTGCCGACTTAGCGTGCTCTGGGGCTGCCATTGCACTCAATTTACATGACAGGGATTTCAGAAACTAAAATTCTTCACAGTCTCATTTTCTCTGGTAACTTAATTATATTCAGTTGTTGTTATAAACAATATATTATTTTATCTGTGCTGAAACTATCTTTTGAGATCACCTTTATTAGCAATAATAAATAGACAAACCATGTCACCCTAAACGTAGATTGTAGTGTTATAAAACTGATGG